GTCCGAAAGACGACTTCCCTTTGCCGCACATCGATGAATTGGTAGACTTCACGGCAGGACATGCCTTGCTTTCGTTTATGGATGGTTTCTCAGGCTATAACCAGAGTCCAACACCTAGATCACTGAACACAAATTTACCTAATGATTTTCTCATGCTGTGTCTCATGAGCATAAGCAAGCATTTCACCGGCTTTCTCACTTGCAGTTCCAACCATCAGTAAGCCCATACTGATACCAGCAGCTTCTCCAGCAACGGCACTATCAGTATAAAGCACAGTTTTTACGTCGTCATAGATATCTTCATCAGCAGTTCCAAGAGCTGCCAAGCCCAGACCCAAGCATGCACCATGCTGAATAACCTGCACCAATCAAAGTTTCCAACACCACTATTATAACAGAAATTCATGGTGCACAAAAGTAACCGAACAATAGATTATAGAGAGCAAGCACCTCTCCGTTGGTACTGCATAGGCTATCACAAAGAAATTGTTTGATACCCTCCCCATGGTTTGCATGAATCAAGCCTAGGGCATAGAGAGCACCGCCTTCAGAGTATGGACTGCCACCACCACCAGCCCCACTCCTTGTCAATGTGAATATTCATATTGTGAACGGGCCGCCCCGGGCCCGCTCCGGGCAACGGGCTGGTTTCGGGCCGCCCACGGGCCGCAGGCCAATTTTACACTCCTATCAATGTGAATGTTAACTTGTCAATGTGAATATTCATATTATCAACGAGCCGGGTCGGGCCTATTTTTTTGGCTTGTGAGCCGGCCCGGCCCGACTCGAATTTTTCCGGGCATCCACGAGGATCGACATGAGCCGGACCCCTACACATTAACGATATAAACATTTATATTAACGGTGTGAACATTCACATTAAGGGTATTTTGGTAATTATGTCACCCATAGGACTTATTGAAACATAAGAAAATAATGTGAACTAAATGGAACATAAGTAGATAAAAAGGGTATTTTGGTCCTCTTATCTCAAATTGGACATAATGGAATAGTCAAAAAGAATATAGGTTGGATGGAATAAAACTCTTAGAAAATGGATTTATCAAAAAAGCTCCCATAGATTAATCATCTATTTTTTTTATTTTTATTTTTTTTCTTGGATGGCAAGAGTTGTGTTTTATTTTCGAGGTTGGTAGCATTGTAACGTATTCTCTATAAATGAGGACGGTAAGAGTTGTGTTTTGTTTTTTTTGGGTTGGTAGCATTGTAACGTATCCTCTATATGTATTTTATGGTTAGAGATAATAAATGTGTTCACATATTAAGGGTTGTTTGAGATGTTTTAAATAAGTATATTTTTTAATTTTTTAATAATAAATGTGTTCACATATTAAGGGTTGTTTGAGGTGTCTTAAATAAGTATATTTTTTAATTTTTTAGACTAAAAAATTGAGAAAAAAAATGATTATTTGGGTTAACTTTTTGTCCTTTTATGAAAAAAATATATATTAAAAAATTGTATAAATTAGTGTGTAGGAGAAGATTAGTAGTGTGAGTTGTACGATCGTACTATCTGCTTAGATGAATTAATGCTAAGAAATGATTCGCTACTTTTTGGGCATTGCACTGGATGGTGCTGTTCGGCCTGTGAAGGCCATCACGGGTCTCGTTTTGACAATCTGAACTGTTCAATGTATAGAACTCGTCGAGTACTATATGGCTGTAAAAAATCACATTGATCGGATATTGATAGCTATTTTATCAAATTAGTTTTTTTTCAACCGTTAACTATAACACCATCTATTTTTTTATACAAAACTGATTTGATCATGTTGTTAGTGATACTTGATCAATGTAATTTTTAATAGACACATATTAATTGACGTGTTCTACACATTGAACGGTTCAGATTATCAAAAAGGGACCTGTGATGGCCCCCACAAGCCGAACAACAGTGTGTTAAAATTGTACCTCAACTGTGCAATTTTTCTTAAAAAATGCGGACACATTGCACTGAACTGGTCAGATTTGTCTTGTAATTTTGTGTGTAATATTAATTTTTTAATATTTTTTTTGGATAAATAGTGATAACTTTTTAACTTTTTGAATAACTTTTTGATTTTTTTTCTTTTTTTAGACACGCCAAACTTGCCTAAATCCAGCCATCTTTAATGTTTAGTGAAAGATAATTAGGATTTCCAAATTTATGTATAATAATAGATATGTGAGATATTGACTTTTGTAGTTAGTTTTTTGATTTTTTACTATTAAAAGTTTGTTTAGTTTTCTTTTTTTGACTTTTGCGTGAGAAAAAATAAAATAATTATAGTTTAAATGTGATATTTTATCTTATTAGTTTATTTAGTATATTTTATTTTTTGGGGTACTTTTTAAAATAAAAAATTCTTGTCAAACAACCCCTAAACTGTGGCTCTATTTGGGGAAGAAAAAAGTTGGACTTTTTTTACTAAGCCTCTGTTTGGGAAGTCCAAACTTGAGCTTTTTTGGCTATTTTAGCCACAAA